ATCCTGATGTAAGTTGCACTGGTGTAAATCCATTTTATATTTACACTGGCAAAGTCAATAGCAGAATTTAGTGGCTGATAGTATTATAAACAGCCACGCCAACTTTTCTAACTGAGTGAGGCGAACATAAAACTGATTTTGTGGGGTTCACAGAACAGTCATTTTGCTTCATTTGACCACTTTTGCCATTTGTTTCAAAGTCTAGCTTTCTCTTGCTACCTCCAATCAGAGTCACTCACATTGCCACCTGCCTGCTATTATGTGTTCTCCAATATTATCTTTATAACTGTATTACCCTAACACCTAGGATCAGGGCCCTTTTGTACTAGAAGCGTCACAAACACAGGGGCTGCGTCTAGACTGGCATTATTTTCCGCAAATGCTTTTAACGGAAAATCTTTTCCGTTAAAAGCATTTGCGGAAAATAATGCCAGTCTAGACGCAGCCCCTGTGTTTGTGACGCTTCTAGTACAAAAGGGCCCTGATCCTAGGTGTTAGGGTAATACAGTTATAAAGATAATATTGGAGAACACATAATAGCAGGCAGGTGGCAATGTGAGTGACTCTGATTGGAGGTAGCAAGAGAAAGCTAGACTTTGAAACAAATGGCAAAAGTGGTCAAATGAAGCAAAATGACTGTTCTGTGAACCCCACAAAATCAGTTTTATGTTCGCCTCACTCAGTTAGAAAAGTTGGCGTGGCTGTTTATAATACTATCAGCCACTAAATTCTGCTATTGACTTTGCCAGTGTAAATATAAGAACAGTCTTTAAGCTTACAGTGTAAATAGTCAAGACAGAAAAAGGTTTCCTTATTAGCCCAATTTTACAGATAGAAAATTGTAAGACAAAGAGATCTGGTGACTTGTTTGAGGTCACACAGAAAGTCTGTGGCACACCAGTGAACTGATTTCAGATTTCCTGAGTCACAGTCCAGTTCTTTAACCACCATCTAATTCTTCCTCTGATTTTTGTATGACAGTCTGCTTGTGTGTAAGTGGGAATTGCCCCTTCCCTGCCAAAGGACACGGTCTGCCACAGCCATGCCCATATTCAGTTATGACCCAGCCATGCCCATATTCAGATATGTCCCACCAGCCCTGTCCTACCCAGTCCCTCCCCCTCCTTGCTTACACATGCATAAGGAGGAACCTGCTGAGCTAATTGCCCTGGAGGAGAACCAAAAAATGATCGGGGTCTTGATTTTATTTCTCAGCCACAGTCAGCCCTTTGGTGGCAGTGACTGTATGTTTGCCTACTACAGCAATGCTGATGATAAGTAAATCCTCCGCCAGCCAGTACCTCTAACACAATAACACACTCTGCCTTTGGATGCTGCATCAGGTCTCTCTCTGAGGACAGCCTGTCACCTTCTGCACCTTCTAGGACCTTGAGAGCTGTCCTGGATGGCCTGACCCAACCCTAACATGTGCTGTGGCTCATGGGATCTAATGGGGTCACATAGCACAATGTGGTAAGGCTGCCAGTGTAACCCACACACCTGCTGGGTGTGGGGCACTGACCCATGCAGTGGTAGCAAGACCACTTACAGAGAGAAAACAACCTTAGAGGGGGCCCAGCTAGCTTTTAGCTCAAGTTGTAGAGGTTCATGCACTAAGCTCCAGAGGTTTGGTTCTGCCTGTTCTCGTTACGCCAGTATGAGAATGTGGGACGGCTGTCTGTTCAGGTGAACCTAGGCCAAATAGGAGCTGAGACCTGAACTGAATTTCAAAACCAGACGACACAGAACCTATTCCTGTTTTCCCCAATCAAAAATACAGAGGCCAGATCCTTAGCAATTTACACTAGCTGATTTACAGCAGCGGCGGATCCAGTCCAACTTTCTACCTCCCTCCATTTATGTCTGCAAACAGATTATGGCTTAGAAACTTCTGAGTCTCAAGTGGCTCCACTAGCTGTCTTTAAAATATGAACCGAAAAGGGCTCTCCAAAAAGGGTGAATCGTAGCCAGAGGAACAAACATCTCGCAATGCCCCCAACAGTTTTCCAACCAAACCATCTAAATGTCAAGCATGAATCTGAATCAAGCCCTGCAGTGGACTCCATCACATGCTTTAACTCAAGCACTCCTAGCTGCCATTTGCAACTGTACAAAATAACATAAGAACATAAGAACATAAGAGCGGCCGTACTGGGTCAGACCAAAGGTCCATTTAGCCCAGTATCCTGTCAGCCGACAGTTGCCAGCACCAGGTGCCCCAGAGAGGGTGGACCGAAGACAATGATCAAGCGATTTGTCTCCTGCCATCCCTCTCCAGCCTCTGACAGACAGAGGCCAAGGACACCATTTTATCCCCTGGCTAATAGCCTTTTATGGACCTAACCTCCATGAATTTATCCAGCTTCAATTTAAACTCTGTTATAGTCCTAGCCTTCACAGCCTCCTCTGGCAAGGAGTTCCACAGGTTGACTACACGCTATGTGAAGAAGAACTTTCTTTTATTAGTTTTAAACCTGCTACCCATTAATTTCATTTGGTGTCCTCTAGTTCTTCTATTATGGGAACTAATAAATAACTTTTCTTTATCAGCCCTCTCCACACCACTCATGATTTTATAGACCTCTATCATATCCCCCCTCAGTGTCCTCTTTTCTAAACTGAACCCCCCTCCCCACCCCCGTAAAGCAGCAGGGCTCTATGGTTGGTAGAATGGGGACAAATTAGAAGCACAGTGACTTTTATCCCAGAGTGACACTGGATCAAGATGGCCAGAGAGTCGTTTTACCGCTTTGTTTTGTTTTTCCCTTGAGAATTTTTCGTGTCACTTTTTTTCATTTTCATTGAAAACTTTCTTTGAGAGTTTTTGGGATGCATAGAAAAAAACCCCAATGCCAGTTTTTTTTGTTCTGATTTTGGCAACTGGAAAGCATCCAGTGTTGATTTGTTCAACAGCCCCACAATTCTGTATGTACAGTGTGCAAGTGTGTGTTTACCAGAGAAATTTCTGGTTCAGTGGTTGGGGGATTTACTTGGTTGGTTGGTTTTTGCACAGCCCTAACTAGAGACCTAATCTAAAGTTCTCTGGAGTCCATGGGAGTCTTTTCATTGATTTCATAGGGCATTGGATCAGGCCACAGTACCTCACTAAGTGGCACTGACCAAATCTCACAACATTACTCCTATGAAGTATTCACATCTCCATTGAGCTAAGCTGTAGCCCCAAGAGGATCAGGCTAACATTTTCAAATGTATCTCAGGCTGAAGTCAATGGAAGCAGCAGCTGAGCCGCTGTTCTGAAAATCACATGCTGGACTGACACATTGAGTAGGGACTCCAGCTAGTAGTTTTGTCACCCAAATGGTCTTTTGGCAGTGAAACAGTCAAAGCATTCACATGGCAACATGACTTTTGTCAGGGAAAATGCCCAGTTTCAGCAACAACAAACTCCTAGCCCCTGAAAGACTTTTTTTCTTTTCCCCTCCTTTTACTGTCAACAAAGAATCAGTGTGGACCCTGCTGTTCTTTTTTTGACGGAATTGGCATCCGCTAATATCCCACAATGCCTGCCCTATGACTCTGCTCAGTATTTTGTGATCTCTGCTGCTCTGCAGGCATGCACCTGTCCCCTCTCAAAGCTCAAGGAATGGGTTGGGGGTGGGAGCTGCCCACCAGGATTTCAGAGTTCTACCACCTGAACCTTGAGCAACATGAAAAACTTAAAAAACAACAAAAGGACAATGCTAAAGGTTAAGGTGGTAGATTTGTGTCAACAAATCAGATATCCAAAAAGGCACTATATGAAAACCTGTTGGAGAACACTCTAATCTACCTGGACACTCATTAATGGATCTCCAAGTTGCTGTTTTGTTTCAGGCCAATTCTACGAGCCAGATACACAAAGAAGGATTGGAACTTAACTTCATTTACAAGTTTAATTCTCATGCAAATGGTATGAACAAGGACATGTGCTGGCTCACACACTACCTTCTACGTCCTATGAGTTAAGGTACCAACCAAACAATGGAGGTGCTAACTGTTCTTATCAGCCTGTTGTAACTATTTGAACCATCTTACTCATTGTCTCTCTCTTTTCTTTTTTTTTTCTCCTTTCCCCCTCCTTTTCTTTTTTTCTCTCTCTCCCCTCCCCTTCCCTTATTTAGTCTTGGATCTGGATTTCTAATACTCTTGTCATCTGAAGAAGTGGGTTTTGCCCATGAAAGCTCATACCATCTACATCTTTTGTTAGGGTATGTCTACACTACCCTCCTAATTCGAACTAGGAGGGTAATGTAGGCATACCGCACTTGCAAATGAAGCCCGGGATTTGAATTTCCCGGGCTTCATTTGCATGAAGCCGGCCGGCGCCATTTTTAAATGCCGGCAGTTCGAACCCCGTGCCGCGCGGCTACACGCGGCACGGAGTAGCTAGTTCGGATTAGACTTCCTAATCCGAACTAGCTGTACTCCTCGTGGAATGAGGAGTACAGCTAGTTCGGATTAGGAAGCCTAATCCGAACTAGCTACTCCGTGCCGCGTGTAGCCGCGCGGCACGGGGTTCGAACTGCCAGCATTTAAAAATGGCGCCGGACGGCTTCATGCAAATGAAGCCCGGGAAATTCAAATCCCGGGCTTCATTTGCAAGTGCGGTATGCCTACATTACCCTCCTAGTTCGAATTAGGAGGGTAGTGTAGACATACCCTTAGTCTTTAAGATGCTACCAGTATATTTGGTGTTTTTTAAGTTTTTCCTGTTACAGACTAACTCGGCTACCCCTCTGAAGCTCTTGAGCAACATATGATGTATTGTGAGGATGAAATGCACTAAAGAATTCATGCAAAGCAGCCTGCAGAATCCTTCCTTGAAAGAGACGTTGAAAGTGTTATCACTAAGTGCAATTAAATTGTGGTGTTTTTTTTTTTAAAAAGCTTACCATAGTCTCAGATCTATTTTATTCTTTACGTGCAAGGAAGTGACACACATATACATAATTCATCTCTGTCTCTCTCTCTTTCTCTCTGTTTGCAAGCAGATACTCATAGCAAGGGAAAGACGCAAGCGGATGGTATCTGACCCTGGGATTTATGCTGCTAATCTGATTACTATATGATGGATGTGTCCAGTTGGAAAGAGATGGAGGTGGCACTAGTCAATTTCGACAATACTGATGAAATAATGGAAGATCCCAGTTATTCAAATGATTTCAGCACTGCTGCCCAACTGCAGAAAAGAGACCTCAGCTGTGCCAGCCTCCTACCCAATTGGAGACTCCTCCTCAATAGCGAGAACAGCAACAATGAGACCATTTTCTCCAAGTTCTCTGCCGAGTTCGGCGAGCACCTGATGAGGGAGAAGGAGGGCATGGACGAGGGCGACCAGAGAGTCATCATCAACATTGCTGGGCTTCGGTTCGAGACGCAGCTCAAAACCCTCAATCAGTTCCCTGAGACTCTGCTTGGGGACCCAGAGAAGCGGATGCACTACTTTGACTCCATGAGAAACGAGTACTTCTTCGACAGGAACAGGCCCAGTTTTGATGGGATTCTCTACTACTATCAGTCTGGTGGGAAAATCCGGCGCCCGGCCAACGTCCCTATAGATGTCTTTGCCGATGAAATCACATTCTATGAGCTGGGCAATGAAGCCATGGACCAGTTCAGGGAAGATGAAGGCTTCATTAAGGATCCAGAGACTCTTTTACCCACCAATGACTTCCACAGGCAGTTCTGGCTGCTCTTTGAATACCCTGAAAGCTCCAGTGCAGCCAGGGGTGTAGCTTTGGTCTCCGTCCTTGTCATTGTCATTTCCATCATCATCTTCTGCGTGGAGACCTTGCCTGAGTTCAGGGAGGAACGGGAGTTTAAAGCCATCAAAGACGCCACTCACAACTTGACCAAAGCCAACCCAGCCCCTAACACCTTCACGGACCCCTTTTTTGTCATAGAAACTGCCTGCATCATCTGGTTCTCCTTTGAGCTCTTTGTCAGATTCGTTGTGTGCCCCAGCAAGGCCGCCTTCTTCAAGAACATCATGAACATCATTGACATTGTATCCATTATTCCCTACTTCGTGACCCTCACCACTGAACTGGTCCAGCAGAGCGAACTCAATGGGCAGCAGAACATGTCCCTGGCTATTCTGAGGATTATCCGCCTGGTCCGGGTCTTCCGCATCTTCAAGCTCTCGCGACACTCCAAGGGCCTGCAGATTCTGGGGCAAACACTCAAGGCCAGCATGAGGGAGTTGGGCCTGCTCATCTTCTTCCTCTTCATTGGTGTCATTCTCTTCTCCAGCGCCATCTACTTCGCAGAAGTGGATGAGCCACAGTCTCATTTCTCCAGCATTCCTGATGGGTTCTGGTGGGCTGTGGTCACAATGACAACTGTTGGCTATGGAGACATGTGTCCTACCACCTTGGGTGGGAAGATAGTTGGGACCCTTTGTGCTATTGCAGGGGTGTTAACCATTGCGCTGCCTGTTCCAGTCATTGTCTCTAACTTCAACTATTTCTACCACCGGGAGACAGAGAACGAGGAGAAACAAATTCTACCCCGGGAGGTGGAGAGAATACTCACTAGCATAGCTGCGGCCAGTGGCAGCATGGAATCCTTGAACAAAACCAATGGGGGGTGCTCCCATGACAAGCACAGGAAATGATGATGGGTCTTGGAGGGACTGGTGTCAGATTGGATTTGATAAATGAAGTGGGTGTAAAACATCAGCACTCTATACTTTTTTAAAAAAACACAGCTTGCTTTTTTTGTAGACATTTTGCAATCCTCCAACCTCCTGCAG